ATCGCACATTCATAAATGAACTATGAAAGCTGGAATGGGATTCCTTATCAGAATCCTATGCATTTGATTATACGTCATTATTTAAAAACATCCCTAATCAATCATGGTTTCAATCTCTAAAGATGAATCGTGCAGCCATAGCTAAATTCACTAGATTACGCACGGGCCATAGCCTACCACACCACTCGTTTAAATTGGGACTCAACAGTAGTGCGTGTTGTCCCCTACCCAACTGTGGTGGAGAATACTGTGATTTCTATCACCTACTCATAAATTGTCAATCTCTCTCTATCCAAAGATCTCAGCTAAAGATTCTCTTTTTCACCTCTGGTATTCATTTTTCCCTTATTGATGCTCTTTCAACCGACAATGCTAATATAATCAAACATACGCTAAATTTTATTCTGCAATCAGGCCTCCGAATTTAAGGGTGTGAGTTTTACCAGCCTTAAATTATTTCAGATTCATGTACATAATTGTCGAGATATCATAATATAACTTTAAAATCTCATTAAAAAAAGAAAAAAAAAGAAAGATCAGAACGTATTTTAATTAAACCATCAACCATAACATAATAATACTAACGACATTATTTTACTGAATATATTTGTAATGGTTTATTTATTTATTTATTTTTCTGTAAGTGGTATGTTTTTCTTTACGAATCGTTCTACAAATTGTATTAGCCTTAAAATGTAATATCTCCTTAGCGATGGTGATGAAAGAAATTGAACAATATAACACCTTACTTAAACGTTGTATATAATACATCTGTATATGTATCAATCGTGCCGTTCACAAGTATGTTTATTATGAAAATACAATTGCATAATAAATAAAATCCATATGGACGACACAAAATTCGCTCTAGATCATACGCATATAATACATATAGTCATATATATATATATACTATAGTAGTCACACTATAGTCCGTTGTGTTGTGGTGTAGTGTACACCGCGTGTATAGTGTGGCCAATAAATCCAACAAGTATCACGCTATGCTGGTTATGAACAGTCGGATTGTAGACGCCTTCACTAGTGGTATGGCGTTCACGCGGTAACGATCTTCGTTTGTTCCATCATTCGTGAGAATACGATTTCTTTAAAACGTTAACGTCACTGTTCGTCACTATCTAAACAATTCATTTTATTACGTTTAGTGTTTTAAATTATTACAATTTTTAAATGTGATTACTGCTCAGACGTCAACATGACCTGTTCGGACAAGGGATATACTAGGATTAATATCCTTTCTGCGTGCAGCAGATCGGTAGAAACTGCTAAACACAAACGCATTTTTATTTCCAAAAGGTACTTATGAGAACTATAATATACGCACTTATATGTTAATTCACATTTAAATTACATTTTTCAAAAATAACCGTCAATATACCAAAATAATATTGTGTTGTAAATAGCAACATCAATTTAAATAATTATACTTACAATTTTGAAGTACTAAAAAAAAAAAAAAAACTGCTAAATATTATAACTTTCATATTATGCTAAATAAGTTGACTATTTTTTTTTCGAATTATTTTGTAAAAAAAAAAAGGTTTAATAAATAAAATAAAATAAAAAAATGTATTAAAAAAAAATAATTTTTAGTGTCATAATCACGTAATATAATTTAAATGAATTAAAATTTTATCATATTTTTTTTTATTTATACTTTTAGATAGTTTCTTAAAATTATAAAATATTAATTTTTTATAAGTGTATAAATATTAAGTATTTTGCAATACTTAACGTTACGCATCCAAAACCAAAAGAATCATTTCAGAATATAAAAAAAAATCGATAACCAACCATGACCAAGAATAATACAAGAATAAAACTCTTATCCAAAGCGAATAACAATTGACTATAGAGAGGTTAATATATTATGTAGTTTTATCAATGAAAAATAGTTGTCATCTTATTATGATGGTGCACGTTTCTTAAAAATAATAAATTACTCACCTTTATATAATTTAGTATACGTTTTGGGAGTAACTCCGTTTGTACACATTTATCGAAAAATGTAACGACCCATCACCTTTATGGCTTTTTAACTGTATGCATTACGTACATGGATTTCGCTGGTTGGTTCATTATTCGATAACAATATATATATAATGAAATGTATTTACATATGTAAAATTTTTATAACTATAAAATAATTTAAAAATTAATTTTTATCGTAAAACAAATAGCATTTCAATATGCGGTACGATGGTACAGTAAAGTATGTAGCACTTTAAAATAAAATTGAAAAAATTAAAAGAGAGAATATCGTACATTTTTATAATGATTTAAAATATTATGTATTTTTCAAAAAGATTTTACCTATTATCCTTTAAGCGGAAGAATATATTAAAAATTATTTATATGAACACATTGAAATCGTAAAAGATTTAATAGCACATATTTTACCTGAGATAATATAATTACAAATTATGGAAAAAATTGATCCAAGCACATAAAAAAAAAGAAAAAATAGAAAAGTAAATTTAGGAATGCTATTTTATTTTATTATATTAAAAGGGCTTAACGATTAAGCCTTAAGCCTTATAATACAAAAATTTTAGTAAAATATAGAAAAGTAAAATACAAATGATAAAATATTACAACATTAAATGATACAATAAGTTTAAGTTATATAAATGGTAAGATAAAAGAGCCAATAATCAAAATATAAAGAAACAGAAAATTAAAAACTAAAAGTTAAAAATGGGATCCTCATCGACATTGTTCATAAGACGACTAGATGATTAATTAGATAAGTAATTTGTTGTACAAAAAGGGATGTAGAATGAAATATTGTTTGTAGACTATCTCAGGGGAACTTTGAAATTAATTAAAGATAACAATGATGGATAATAAACTTTACCATCAAGCAAATTTTTTAGGAATTCAGTACCAGGCGATCAACAAGGGTATTTAAGTTAAGATATTTAACGATAGGGAAATACTCATAAGGTCATTAAAAATTAATAGTAAAAAATTTAAAATATACTATAAAAACTATGACGAAAACATTTCAATATTAATATAATGAGTGTGTAACAATATTTTAATATTCAGGTTCAACTATAAACTCATTGAATTTGATATGACAAAAGTACTGGTTAAATAAGTAATTAAAAACGAAGTGGAATCAACAAGCCCAATTTATAATATTTAAAATTGCTATACCGGGAATTAATATTTGATGAAATCGAAGGTAAACCGACAGAAGACTTAGACATTTTTAGAGTAATGAAAGCCCACTAATTTTTATATATATTGAAAATTACAATTAACCTAGGCTAATGAACGTTTGCCATCAAAGTTTATGTGATTTTAATAGCTGTTCCGAGCATTTCCGATTCAAAATTATAAACTATTATTTGTTTATTATTGTTATTAATACTTATTATTTTTTGTTGTTATTTGATTAAACATTTCTTATATAAGAGGTGTGATATTACAATTATAATAATATTTATGTTATTTTAATTAGCCTCTTATAGTCTTTATAATATTGATAAAAAGGTAAATAATAAGTAGATATATAATCATAACTTTTACATTTAAGTTTTATTAAAATTTACATTAAAACACGTTTACAAATTAACTAATGATTTGAATTATTTGGATTAATACAAAGTATTTTACACAGTTATTAAAATTATAATATTCAGTATTTGGTTATAATATTACATTAAGTTACAACATAAAGTTATTAATAAATTTATCGGAATCTCAAAAATATTATCGTAGTAGAAAATTTAAAATGTTAATTATTAACATATTATATATGATAAGATTTATATTCAAACAAAACTCAATAATAATAAAGAATATTTTGTATATTGAATACAATAAATTAAAAACTATCATATCATTTAATTTATTCATTTAATACGTATAACGTGCAAGCAATTTATATATATATATATATATATATTCATAAACAAAAACAACTTTGTGCAGGTAGGTAATTGTTTTATAGGAGACTCTAAATTCTCGACCTTGACCGCCTAAATGTGCTACTTGTGACAACGTTGAATACGATGTATTTTGAAGTTTATTTAGAATATCAACGTGGTATGTCTTTAAAGCTAAAAAATTGTATTTATCCAAATGTTATTACCTTGTTGAACTACGAATAGTAATGGAAATATTGTCTTTTTATTTAATTAATTAGGTCCTTGGTGTCTTGTTGAAATGTTACAATAAAAAGTACTTGTCATTTATAATATGTAATTCTTATTATTGGTATATTTTAATATGCTCTGTCATGTACATACCGGATTTTAGGATTATTTAATTTCTACCTTAACTATGTTTTGACCATAGGTTTTTAATTTATCAACTAAACAAATTAATGGAATTTTTATTCTTGTTTTCAGAACCAGTGAACTTGTTGCACTTATGGCTATTTCTTCAACTTTATTTTTATTCTTACACACCAGAGATCTGCATACTAGGCTTAGGTCATTACAATCGATTTCAAATTCTGCTTCAACTTCAGGTACGTCTTAAATAAACGATACGTTGCCCAAATAAAATAATAGTTAATTATTTATTTTTATCAATAAATATTATTAAATTAATAAACGTAAAAACTTATACGTTATCCTTGTTGTGTTAATGTTTTAATTTTTATTTAAGGGAAATGTAAATGTTGCATCATTTTATGATGAAAAAATAGTTAAATGAAAATATAAATATTTTCAATATAATTTGATATGCTTATGACAAAAAATTCGCATATTTATAAGTAACAATATATTCATTATACACAAATAAAAAACAATGCATTTTGTCTGGTAAATGAAATAACCCATACTATGATGACCGCTATCGATCAAAATAAAATAAGGATGATAAAGCTTAATTTTCAATAATGCTAAGGATAGCTTAAGGATTTTTTTTTACAAGCAGTTATTTTAATACACATTGTAATAAGTATAGAGATCAGAATATGATTTATAAACTGCATAAACTACAATCCAGTGATTTTTGAAAATAATATGTTATTCTTTATTCTAATTTTTATTTTTGTAAACCTACCAAGACTTTAAAACGAGTTTCTAAAATATTTAAGATTCTACTATCGATTAACTTTTATTTTGAAGATTATCATGATTTTACTTTGTATTAGAAAAAAAAAATCTTTAACATTTTTCATATGTAAAAATTAAGTTTTTATTGATCATCAATTAAAAACCGAAGATAAGAGATAAGTGTTATATCATAATATTAACACATTTTTAATTTTGTATCATCCCATGTCAAAATCTCAAATAATGATAGTTTCTAAAATGTTTACATATTTACATATTGATTTTTTTTAAATAAGATTTTAAATAGATTTCTTTACATCTATTTTTCTGATCACATATTCCTAATCAATATTAATGGAATTTCATGTATTATTTTAAAAATACCCACTACATTTATTAATATGTAATATGCATTTGATTGGTTTATTTATTATATTTACTATCTAGAATACGTACTATATGAGTATGTACTATATGTATGTATGCAACAATTATACGATTTAAATTTATGTATTTTTGTCTTAATACGCCTAACAGTTTACAAATGGTTCTATAAAAAGAAACGTTCAGTTATGTTACATTTATTTAATGAATTCCGTTTATTTCGTTTCATTTTTCTTGATTATTTTATTCAAAAAATATAATAGGAAAAGAAAATCGTTAAATAAATTCTAGATGTTTCCGAATATTGAATTCTTACGCATTTAAATTGAAATATATTACTATGCACAACAAGCTTTTGTTCCCGTTTTTACTGTTGTGGTGGTAATTGTGAATCATGGTTTGTGTACTACGTACACATAAAGACATTAAGCAATACGTTCACGTACGATGGTCTAGCCTAACAAAGGATGACCGTTTTTGTTCCGTCGTCACTGGACGACTGACCATCATTAGTCGCGAGCGTTGTTTTTAAGAGAAGTAATGCAACAAATAAATGTGCATGTACATCTTTATGGAACGGACATTATATGCCTCGTGCCCTACATTAAAATGACACGACATTTCATTATTTAAAAAACCATATTTTTGCTCTTGCCACCTATTCAAAAACGAGATTAGAAAAATCAACTAAATGTACTTTCTCTTTATAGAGCAATTTACTACGGGTGTGTAAATTCAATTGTGCAATTATAATAATATTATAATTAATAACTGATGTTTTTAATTGTATGGGTAAATTATTTATTATTATTTTTATTTGAACATGATGTATTATAATCAATATAAGTTGTCAGAAAAAAAAAACAAATACTTAGGTAAAAGAATAATAATTCTGTTCGAAATTAATAAATATGTATTATACTAGATCTCTAGATGTATTTTTTTATTTATTTTTTTTTCTGCGAAAAAGAAAGAAATACTGATTCAACCCATATATAGTTAAATTGTTTTAGAAAATTATGTATAGTTATTAATAATTCTATAGTATTACTATTATATGTTTAAATTATGTACTAGATTGAATTATTAGATTTTTAGTATCCCTCTAATTAAATTGAAACTTGTTTGAAAATATATTTTTGTGTACCCGATCTTGAATTTTCTTAATAAATTTTTAAGTATAATTGTTAGGTACTTTTCGGTTAAAACTTGTTTAATGATCATCAACAATATATTACAGATTGATTTATAGTGTCACACCTTGTCTCTATTAGATATTAGTTATAGTTACTACTTACTAGTGTTACAACATAAATGCAAAATATTGTTTCGTATATGTATACTTGCAAACTTGTTATGTTAACTAGAAAATAAGAAATAATAATATATTTAACAGTATTATTTTATTTTAAGAGATAATATCTGTCTTTTAGCTTTATATTTTTTATAAATTGATAGTAATTTTAGCGAACGGCAAAATATTCAAAAAAGAGTTTTCAATGTGACGTATTTGAAATGTTTGAATTTCGTGAAAGCAACTTATATTTTAAGTTATTCATTATAATTATAATATACGAATAAAGATGAGTTATACTTTCGTCGTTTGTAAGACATTCTCATGAACCTTATAAAAAATCGCACATATTTCCGAAAACCGATGAGAGAAAGTAGACGCGAACACTGCCATTGACCTTTACCTTTGACACGATAATGCCTCGGGTAAAATGCAATATGCGTATTATTAAACTATTATATATCATTATATTATTGACTTAAATAGGATATTTACACGACTTGATTGATTATATAGCATGTCCTTACATCTGTTCTCTAATGGATGGTGATCAGGAAGAACGTGTTGTTCACTAATATTCCTAGACGAATATCATTATTGTATCGATTACGAGCACTTAAAACTTCATTAAAATTTATATTTCCTAATATTTGTAATTTGGAGTTCTATTAGAAGAATATTCGAGAATTCGATCTCAGAACTATATTAACATTAAAAAAAAAAGAAAAAAGTAAACTAAAACAATCCCTTCTTTTTAATAAATTAAATTAACTATATTTAGGAATAAAATTATATTTTAGTATTTAACAGTAAAATATTAGAAAAAAAGAAATATAATCATAAGCTTACATATTAAAGTATTTAAATCGTCTACTCATCCTGTGTATTGCTTTAACAACTTATTTAAAGAATATTTACATTTGCAACTTACAAGATTAAATCAAATGAAAGCATTCACTCTTTCTAATCTCAATGTAATGACCGTTTCGAAATAATAGCCAGTATTATACATTTATACATGTATACAAATAAATGTTATAACATGTGCATCATTTCCTCTCACTCCGTCTGGACTGAACCATTGAGTTGCTTACATGGCCAAGTGCTCTACTCGAATTTGACGTTAAGATTATAGCTACAACCTATTATGCTGTCATGCTGTCACGTTTGAACAATGCTTTAGGTAGCAAGTATAATATATACCTACTACAAGAACATTATTAAAAAAAGTTATTTATTTGCAGTCGAGTGAAAGAAAATAATTGCCTACATATATTTATAAGTAAATTTGTTATAAATTAGAACTGAAAATGCACCAAACTATTGTTTTAATAACAATTATTGTAAAATAAATAATATCAATATTATTTCTTCGTACCCTGAGACATATCACAAAACAAAAACTGTTAAATGCTTTCTAAACATCGTTCATAAACAACCTTATTCTAAGTCATAACGTCAATGCAATCAGCTTGATTTGATTTTTGATATGTATAAATAAAAATAACAACGAGTATTTTGTTAAAAATCTATACGTGATAGTTATGTGTACTGTTAAAATTTATTCATAATCTGAAAATAAAAATATAGAGTTCATATAGTTATTAAATTTCTTTTTTAAAATTTCGAAAAAGTTATTTGACCATTTTGTTTCAATTCAATCATTTTTAATAATCAAGAGTATTTATTAATTAAAAAACACATCCAACCGTATGGTTCATTTGGGACACCAAAAACGACTTTCATTTTACTTTTAGATACATTTTAAAATTCTATTTTGCTGTGTATGTAAAAAAAGTTTATAGGTACATTGTAATCGCATACTGTATTTATATGTATAGTATATTTAAATTAGGAAATTAATAATTTAATAAGCTTTAGAAAAAATGACGTGTATAATTCATTCGTTAATAATTCATCATTATGGTCATCATATTTTTTATTTATTATTTATAATAATTTTATTTATTTGTGTATATAAATAATTTGATTTTTGGTTAAAATGATTTTTTTTTCATCATTTATAATTTATTTATGTTTGAAAATTATATATCAATTGGAAAAATTAATAAACAATATTTATGATACGTATCTGCTTGTTTTCTTAAAGCACTATTCAGTATTATTGAATTTATATGTATTATTATCACAATACAGACTTTTAACGATTTCACCGACTTTCCAGTAGAAGTTTTCGTTATAGGTATAATAGTGCACTGGTTTATCGAAGACAAAATACAAAATAAGTACAAGATTTAATTTTATTATTTATAATTAAAAAATTCAAATAATAATAGAATAATATTAAGCCCGATGATTTACGATTTAAATCCAATATAATAAAACTATTAGCTATGTATTAGTATATATATATATATATATATATATATTTTTAATGAGTTTTAAAATTATTCGGATAATCTTTTCTGCTTATTATTGAAAAATAATAGGTCTCCGATTGGGAATGTAGTAATCATATTGACCCTGTTATTCTATCCACTGAAAATTAGAAAAATGAACGAGTCATTGCAAATGTTCACGATTGAATTACCTATCATTCTTATTTTTGTTTATTTATTTATTTTTTATTGTTGTACCTAGTGTGAAATCTGGACATGTATTGTATAAAATTGATAGGTTTTCTTTCATGTAACATATTCATAGATATTGTATGTTATCTAATAATTGAACATTATATGTAATAGTAATCATATAAAATGTATAGGACATTTTTACGTTGAGTTTCGTAATTCTGTATTAATAAATACGAGTTAAATCAATATTACGTTTTAGCTTGTTGCGAATTCATGACATATTTAGTTCATTTTCCATGACATCATTTTTACTCGTAAATTAAAATTGTTCTTAACGCGTATCCTAACCACACGCGTAGAAATATACTTCGAAATGTTTGCGTTAAAACATCAATATGCTTTAATTTAATACCTTTTTATGTACCTAATAATATCTTTAATCTTTTTCAATAATTAATATGTACAGATGTAATATTATGTATACTGTAAAATGTGATAAACTTAGTTGCAGGTATACCTCTTAACTGATTTGAATTTATTTTTTATATTGACTCGAGATAAATGTATCGATACTTGGAAAAATCTAGATATTAGTACAATAAATATATGTATTGAAAATACAGTATTTCCAATACAAACTTTTTTTTAAATACTAAACATCTTCCAGTAGTTTTACCATACCTAAGTTATTTAATCAGATATTTTAAAATGTACTAGATATAAATATCATAGATCATATATAATATCTATAATAATTTTTATAATAACGAAATTAGTTACATTTTCACTAAAAAATTATAGTGTGACGTATTGTCTTTTGTAGCTCATTCACTATTTAATATAATGTAATATTGAAATGAATGTAATATTTATGGTTATATTGAACAACAATGAATATAGTAATTAATATTAATTAATATTAATTTTGCATTTAACTGCAATTGTTGTTTCGATTATATTTACAGTTTTACTGTATAATTGAATGCATTTATTTTATACTGTAATATTAGTACAATCGCTGTCATTTTGATGTTTGAAATTTTAAGAAAAATAATAAAAATGTATTGGGTACTTAGTGTTTTGTGTTAATCACATAAAAAATCATGTATTTTATAAATTTAAAAGGTTTTTACTTTTGTAATTTTTTCGTAAATAAGTAACAAATAAGTCTTTACAAAAAACAAATACTGAAGTCATTTTTCATAAAATATATTGTAATAATGGTTACATATGTTACAACATTAAATTTTTTCATAGTGATTTAAATGAATTATTATATTTTTGACTTAATTTAACTTAACTTAAGACTTCATTTAATTATTGTATTTTTAGTTAAACCAGTATTAAATTTATTTGTTTAAAAAATTTAATTGCATGAGTTATAAGTACCTATATAAGTACGATTAAAATTTTTTCCTTTACATATTTCATAATTTCATTTTCATTTAGGCAAAAATGAAACTTCTTGTTGGAATATTAACTGTCTAACTATTGGATATTTTAAGATTGTTCATGACAGAAAAATAAATAATAAGTAGTCCAATTATGTATGACCTTGATGAAAATGATACCACGAGTGTGATTTTCGAATTGCACAGAAATCTTTTTTATCAAGTATCACATGAAAAATTTAACTAACCGTAAAATATGTAATTTCTGTGATAAAATAGTATAGATATAGATAGTTTTAATTATGGGAAAAAAACTTGATGAGTTGAACATAATAAAAATTTGAAAATAGTTGACCTTTAATAGAAAACAATGGGTATATTATAAACTTCAATTGAAATTATAATAATTTCATTTTACCTAATTATTTAAAAAAAAAAATGAAAATATTTTCGTATACATTTTAATTATTTTCATTGAATTTCAATAGTAAAAATATATGATTAAAATTTATTTTAAAATAATGGAAAGTATAAGTTAATAGTATTTTCAGTATCTAACTCACCATAATATTATTGACTATATGACTTATTTGACTATATATCACTATATGACTTGAATATTACGTAATTAACTTATATATTTAATTTTATTTAGAATCATTATTGGTTAGCTAACCTAATCAATTTCCGTTTAAATAAAAAAAAAATATAAAATAATTTATGATTGATTAAAATGATAATTTCTATCAAATATACCTGCTCTATGTGCATTAAATATTTTATCAAGTATTTTATAAAAATAGACGTATAGTATATGCACTTGTAGGATTAAAAAATGCTGCCTAGCATTTAATATTTCTTTTATTATTATATTTCTTTTTATTTTAAGATATCATAATACTATATTTAGAGAGCAGGAAAAATTACCGTCCACTTACTTTTTAAAATTGTAGTTCTATGTTTATAAATTATAAATCTTAGGGGTCACAGGTTCACAGTTAGCGGAACTATAGTCACATTCTAAAATAACGTGTCTTTATTTCTACCACTAAATAATGGTATTAACTCGAAATAAGAATTATTTTACAGTCCATTCACAAATATTTCACGGTATAACATAGAACGATTACAATTCGGTAAATACCGTAAAATGTTTATCCCATAATAACATTAAACATCTGGCTTCGAAGAAATTATACTTAAAGCTGTTGGCGATCATCAAACTTATCTGTGTTTTTAAATTTTTGTTAATCCTATTAATAAAATTTATTTTTGCATAAAATCTCAGGTTCCGTAAAATCAAACATGCCAATGTGATTGGTGTTTTTTTAGTATAATTTGTAACACGGCATATTCAGGTATAATATATGTATTATTTGTTTGGAACTTGATTCTATAGATTTAAACTATTTGCCTACTATTAAATATATTTGAATGTATGATACCGATGAATTGTGAATAACACTGTTATTTAAGATGTTTTTCTATGTTTTATTGAGTTATTAATAATACACCATTTACTCATTTTTCCAACAATTATAATAGAAATGTTAAACTAACATGTTTATAGACACTATAAGATTAAACAAACATTTGAATATTTTATTAGGGACGATTGTCAATTACATCATGCTCGGATGCGTCGACAGTTTAATTACAGGTATCACGGTAATTGTCAATTTGGGACATATAGGCCGGTGATTATTTTTTGTTATTCCCCGTAATAGTAGTGTGAAAAAACAATTTTTTATATACCTTAATAACTTAAATGTAGCACGAATAAATCATAGTATACGTGTGTATGTATAGTAAATATATATATGAATTGAGAAAAATAGTGAAAAAATAATATGCAATTGTTGTGGCAAAAATGAATTATATTATTATAATAGTAATAATATAACATCTGTACATCAATCTCGATTGTATGAATTTCACGGTTTCATAAGAATTAAAATCATAAATACATATGAGTAACGGAATGTTAAAATATTCTGAATTATTCGGTACAGAAATAATATGGAATAAAAGTTAATACGGGATTTATTTTCTGGACAATAATACCAAACAAGTGTATTTTTTTTCCAGGAGATTCCACTGCTATGGAGAATGACATTGATAATTTCATCCAACAAGATCAGGTAAAAAAAATATTTCTCAATAAAATATACAGGTCATATTATTATTAAATAACAATATAACGTATAATATATATGTGTATTAATATTCTCTAATACGTAACACAGTTAATCGGATTTTCTGTGTGAAATAAAAATGTTCAATAAAAGTTAATGAACAAAACGTGCAGTAAAGCATTATATGGAAATTGTCTTAAACACTTCATTATAAATACTTAACAAATAGATTTATAGCTTAAACTTAAACTAATTAAACGTTAGACTGATTCGTAAACTGTTTAATCATTTAAAGAGAAAAAACTGGGTTCATCATTTATTTCGTAGGCGAACAAACTAATTTCCTATCCCCACGAATAAAAGTTTAGTAGACGTTATTAGTTCTCATAACTTTCTAACCGTCACAATGAATAATTATTGTCAATCAGCATCAACGTAACCATAAGAACTAATTAAGTTTTGCATTTTTAGTGGAACCGCGGAGTTAAAGAATTCACTATGTTTTTTTTCAACCGGAAACATTTTAACGGTAATCGATTGCTACCATTGTTTTATATGTTCAACCAGTTAATTATACAATACAATGTAGTATAGATTATTGTTAAAAAACTTAAAATGTTACATTATTTTATTGCGTTTCAAAGAAATAGTAAGTATGGCTAAATCGTGAAATTTAGGATTTTAATTTTTTATTTACTAGAGTATTCTAAGATATTTGAATCATATAAATTATATCAGTAGTGCGTTTATACCCGCAATTACTTTTTCGATTCATTCTCAAATATTTTTGTAGGGGGATTTGAAAATTCTTTGTATCATAATTTATTTACCTATCTACAATTTGATTTATTCTAATAATTTTCAAGTGTTGTTATGTTTATAAAAATGCAAGTAAGGTAATCGTTTACGGATTATTAGTACTATTATGTAAATTATAAATGAAGGTATCTCAGTATTAAAATAGACTTTTGAGTCGTGTTTGATTCAATGTTCTATTTTTGAAATTAACACATTAACTATTTTGTATATTAAGTTTTTTTTTATTTACTGAAGAACATTAGTATTTGAAAAGTCTACACCACACAATTCCAATAAAAAAACGGTTTCACGTGTTCAATTATAAAGCTAGAGTTCTCCATAAAGTGTACACTTAATACACCCACCACAATTAATATTTTATTAGGTTTTATGAGGTATATGTTTACTGAAGATAATATAATTTTGGCTTCAATCAAAAATCCTTGTATGTCATATAATTAAAACAAATGAACAAATGGACAAATGAAACGATGAGTACTTAAATCATGAAATAATTGAAAAATTTGAAAACAAAGTTGAATAGATCCTTCGCCCAAATGGATTTCATTCATAATCAAAATATCACTCAAAAACTATTAACAAAATATTCAGTTATAAAACATTAGTAGGTACAGGTTTAGCACTTGACAAAAGATTGACTTGGTCTTAATTTCTTGTTTTCAATTATGATGTAATGAAGTCAAAACTCGCCTCCACCTATTGTGCCCTGTTTTGAAATCTAAAATTAATTTAGCGAAGAAAACCCTACTATACAGTTAATACACAAATTCGTAATCAAGTTTACAGTCTGGTCATCATACAAATATGAAGTACCACTTTTAAGAATTATAGAATCATAACAAGCCTCCTAAGAAATTACATTTGGGCTTTATATACCGAAGCTTCACCGTAGGTGTAAAAATATATTGTTTTTTACGACTGCGTTCACTTGCCAATTTCGGTAAAATGAACTCATTATATATATATATATATATATATATATAAATATTCATCTAGTCATATAATCCCATTATAAAATATTCTATATAAGATTAAACACAGACCGAAAACCTCTTACGTGTATGACATATTTCACTAAATATTCGTGAAAATATTATTTTCTATATAAAATGTAATATAAGCTCAGATATTATTTATTAGTTGGTCGAAAACAAATCTTAAAAATTAAAATACTATGAGAGAAACTCAAGCTATTTGCATTATTTTAATAAACCATCACTGTTACTTTTATTAAAGCGTAATTTGTAGAATAGTATACGTTTATATATATAAAAAAAAAAAAAACATTTAATTTATAAATAAATAAATATCATATTATAAGAAATGTTATCAGTGCGCGAGTTCTATACTTAAATCTTCAACATGCTTCTTTATGCTTGTATTATCATATATGTCTATTATACTAAAATCGATTAATATATCGTATAAGACAGGAAAAAAAAATTACATAAAAATATTAGTTCCTTATTTTTATATAATCATGTACCTACCTAATAATAGAAGAAAAAAGCTGTTGTGAAATTTAAATTAATCAATACTCCCGTAAAGAGAAAATTTTAAGAAATCTGGATTTTTCTTATACGTAGAAAAAAACAATATTTTTACGGAAACGAATAAGAACAAGGCTAGTTAATGAACGAAACTCGTCTTTGACAAGAACACATTAGTTTTATTGACTGCTGTAAAAAATACACCATGAAAATGATTGATTTTAGTAAAATAACTGAACATTACTTTCATTAAATGTTTTTTATTATCGTTTACATAATGATTAAAAGAAATTTCTATTATAAGTATATAAAAACAATGAGGTACCTATTAGTATAATTAAGTAATTTGATGTTAGTTGAAATTTTAAAATATTTAATGAATTTGAAGTAAGTATGTAGATTTTCGAAATAATAATATATAAGATTTATCTATAATAAACAGTTGCATAAAAATATTTACTATAGGAACTGTACGAGTATGATTTGTTCTTAACTAAAAATATATATATATATATATACATTTTCCTAAGTATATAGGATTACTATATTAAAATTTAAACCATACGTAGTTTTTAGCTAATTATTACGAATTATGATGATTATGTTGTATAATTCAATTTTTAAAATTGTAAAATGTTAGAAAAATTATTTTATTAGTTTACTAAGTAGTAAATACTATTATTATGTTTGTTATGTAATTATAAAAACCTAGGTATAAATTATAATCCATGTTATATCTGTATTATTATTCAAATTTAAATAAAAAAATTGTCTGTCATATATTAGTTCACTTAAAAAAATTATACATTTATTAGAAGAAAAATAACTAATTAATATATTTTTTCAGAAGTTAGAGGCATATTCCTTGAATAATACCGGGCGGACTAAAAAGGAATTAATATTTTTCAATCGAGTTCCCAAAGTGGGAAGCCAGACATTCATGGAGATACTAAGATTGTTATCTTTGAGAAATCAATTTGTATTTTACCAGGATCACGTGCAAAGAGTCGAAACCATTCGTCTGGCTGAAACCGAACAGGTGATATTATTTTGATGTACAAATATAAGCCTCACGACAATTTAAATTTTACATTGCAAGATTTCAAGTGACTTTATTTACATAACCGTAAGGATGCAAGTGACACGAATATTATGAAATTGGTCGGTTTCATATGATCTAACTAGGGCAGAACATTGGTTAAAAAACGTGACTAATTTTGTTTTAATTACTGAGTCTTCTGATAATCCGTACGTACTTGACACTTTTGTGTTCTTGCAAAACAATTATATTTACTACGTGTATTATTCATTGTTTCACTTACAAAATGTTAATAATATACTGCGATTATATTTGTTTCGATACGTGTAATAAATATCATAAATGGAGCAGATGGCTACGTTAGAGCCATTACAAAATCTTATATATATTATCAAAACGAAATGTTTCATTTTTATTATTAGAGTTTCATAATAAGGTATACCTATCAAGTTAATCCTATTGCATTTATAAAATTTACTTTTCAATATTTACAGATACATTCTTAATTTGACTAAAAAAAAATTAATAAATTTAATCGGCGTTTACTAGTTGAGTCACGAAGATCCTTATTTAGTCTAGTTAGGTTCCAGTGTTTTTCAGATAGTACACTAGTTTGGTCCTATGATTTTACAAGTACTAATTTAGTTGGATTCATACAAAAAAAAATTTCCCTTCTTATTTTTACACACTCAAAACTGTCAGTTAAATAAATTAGAACACAAGTATGATTTTTTTTTTAAAGTTTCTTATATGTGGTATATAATTATTAATTGAAAATTAGAAAACTGGTATATGACAAATAAATTAATTCAATTATTAAAAAATTTAAAAATTTACACAATTGGTAAAAATGTATATAATAAAGCCTTTACAAACTCAAATCTATGAAATTTTTAATATTATTAAGTGTGTCAATACTTGTAAGTTACAGGTTTTATGTCGTAATGGTCAGACCAAACTCTTATGTTATTGTTTTTATAATCGGATCCAATAAATTTTTTATCTTTATCATAAATATTATTTGGGACCCAACTCGGATACGTCCAATTTAATTCATATATTCCTTAACCCTACAATGCATGATTTTTTATTTTATTTTTTTCTTAATTTTCTATTTATCTATATATCTTTAAGATAGTATGAAAAATATTTGAAAAATCAAAATTGGATTTTTACTCCCAAATCCACTAATTTGTACTTTGTTACCTCTGAGTAACACTATGCATTTACATTATACGATATTATTTATTATATTTAGGAATTCCATAGTTACGTACATCCTATGAATTCTATTATTCGTTTTTTATAAGCCAAATGTACCTAAAACAAATTTTGCTGGACATGTCAATAACAAAAAGAAAAAATACATAAATTTTAAATAATAAGATATTACAATATTATAAGCAATAATGTCTAAAAAAAATCTCAGGCCAGTTACTGTTATAGATTCTTTGAAATTTTATCATTTTTTATTTTTATTTTCAAACAAATTTAGAAAACTATAACTTAAATTGAACAACTTATCAAATACAAAACAATATATATATATTTATATATATACTATATAAATGTTAAAAATAGTAAAATATAATAAAATAACAAATAATAATAATGTTAAAAAAAGTCAAAAGTAAAAACTTAAAAATTATTGACTGACTTGTCAATATTATTAATAAAAATAAAAAACTAGTAATTATAAAACTAAATAATAATTAAAATTTATGTTGTATGCCATTTAGTGAAACAAGCCAATCCTTAAAGTATACTGTTGAAATTATTTAAATTAGTATAATGTTTAAAGATTGTACTAAAATTTAACATAATATAAAAATAATAATTGTTCCTCAGTATTAGATGAAATTTTACATGCATGATTTAAACATAATTAAAATATTAATTCGTATATTATTGTATTTGTAGTAAGTTATAAAAAAAAAGTGAGTATTGTATACGTCATTAAAAATAATAGTCTATAATGTATTTTAAATGAAGCTCATAGGATTTGTTTTTCCCAAACATTTCACTTTTTAATGTTCTATATTATTTATAAGCACCTAATTAAGCATTTTCCCGACTAACCAAGATTCTCATTGAAATACAATTTAATTATATACACAAAAGAAATGGGGATTCTAGAAATTATATTTAATTACAGCCACAATTATTAAAGTGTTTATTAACAAATTATTTTAGCGTGAAAATAGTCATATGGAGGATCTTAACATTTTACATATACCTATATTGTTATAATATAACATATTACGTAAATACATTGTTTATTTATTATTTTTTTTAATAATGTATCACGATTTAATTGAAACACTGCATGTTCTTATACACTTAACTCTACAAAGAAAAACATACATTTTTAAAAGGAAATTATAATTTTCAAAGCAAAAAGTATTAGATTATAATTATGTATTCCTAATTCAATTAAATTAAGTAAATTAAGTGCGAGTGTATACGTAATATACCTGTAAATACGAATCGTGAATTCGATGGAAACTAGAAATTCATTTGTAGACATATATTAATGAACTAACAGATTTTACTTGATTTTATATTCAACATATTTTTTTTGTATTTGTGTTTGAAATAACAAAAGGGTTTTATAGTTTTTGGAACTTGTAAAGTCTAATATTGTATTAATAACAACACATTTTATACAGCCTGTTGACAAAATATTATTATGACAACAATAGCTGTACTACGTTTCATATTTCATAAAAATCATAACTGATTTGAACGGCTGATTCCATAACGACATAACTATTTGTTGGTTTCTGCATATTGAATGTATAACACTGATTTGTCATCTTCGTCCATCGTACACGCGACACAGTGAGTTCGCGTTCCGCGTAATCAAAATTGTTGATTCTAGGTTAAAATCAAAGTAAATTGACCTATTATCAAATCTAAAGGTTGACGGCTGAAATAATTGCCACTGATTTGTGCGCAGACATAATATCTGAACGAAATAGTACAAAACATGCATACTTAAAAAATATGATATTTGTATCTTACTTAAACATTGTGTGTCACAAAAAGGTGACGGTGGATTATTATTGTTTTTTTTTACTAATGATGTTCTCGTTTTTTGGTTTATTATATTGGTCAATTTACTCTACAGTATTAACCTAGAACACACATCTGGAGTTTCTATGCCAAACTATGTGAAACGCGAATTTTTAAGCCATTATAAATCATAAATACACAATGAACGAATTCGACGAATTGGTGTCCTCTTCGTTCTTCTCAAATACATTACTCTAAATTTGGCACCTACCTATATATTAATGTTGTTATAATAATTTGAAATTCAACATAATCACATTCACCGAATTCAACACTATTTTTGTTATTGCCATATGCGCATAACCAACAACTTTTGGGTAAATGTTTTACAAAATATGGTTAAATAAGTGATTGTTCGTCGAAAAAGGAACAAAGTTTTTTGTATTTTAAAAATATTATACTTACTATATAAATTTTTTAGATGATTACATGTGAAACAAAAGGCAAAATAACTGATTTTTAATTCATACCGGAATTATTACTTTTTCTGTTTCACTAGATGAACATAAAATATATTTTAGTCATTAATCTGAAGAGATATTAAGTATTGAATTACTAGGCTTGAATTATCTAATACCTATTATTATATGTTGGTATATATTATATATCGATATATTTAACTTAATTTCACAAAAAATTGTAATTAAGTTTAGTGTTCACAAAAACAAAACAATTTTGAAATAATAACCATACATTTATAAAACGTTCAAAGTATTTAATATTTATTTTCAAATTTATGACAATATATTTTTAATATTAAAATATTAACTTTTATTTAATACTTTCATTTAATACTTTTATTTATGATTGTATTATTTTTTTATGAGACTAACATTATATCATATTTATTGAAATTCATATGATATAAAATTACGATGTATTCGATTGCTAATCTATAAATAAGTTACTACAAGATAAACTATTACAGTTAACATAAAAAATATTCATATTATATGTATATTTTCATTAAAAATTTAACTTATCTACTAAGAGAAATATTGATATTTTTTGTTTTTATATTTGATTATAATTAAATTTATTTAGTTACTTGGAAATTGGAGCCCATATTATATATTACATAATTTCGATGTATTTTAAATCCTACGAGTAAAAGTGTATTAATTACTAACAGTGATGATTCTCTTTTTTTTTCTAAAAAATCACTTATTGATTTTTCTTAATAGATTCGATGCGAATAAGAGAGCATAAAAGAGCGTGAGAATAAATCAGAGAAAATAGTGACAAATGTTGATATTCTTCAATTCGATGTTTTTGTTTTCGGTATGGATTTTTTTTCAACAATTATTTTGTACTTTATACTTAATATTTTAGTGCAAAATTATTTTTATTAAGTAAGTATACCTCATGTAAATAAAATATCTTAAATATTCTGACAGCTGATAAGATCGTAACGATTTGACTTTTTACTTATTATAGTAAACAAAGTGTTTGCATGCTGTTTTAAAATGAGCATCTGTTGAAATTGTTTTTTTGAATATGAAAGGAAGGAAGTTCGTTGCTTAAATATTGAATTCAAAACATTTTTATAATGCACGTTTGAAAATTGTTCGATCTTAATTTAATAGATGTGTAAAAAATGACAAATGCACTTTACCCAAGTACATGACTAAACCTATATAATCATAGGCTTAACTTGGAAATGTATTAGGGGGATAAAAATATAATTACATATCTAATGAAAAAAGTGTTAGAGACTAAACGCCGCTTTACTAGCTACATATTATTATATAAAATCATTAATTTTCTAACATTATGTTAAATGAGCAAAAATTTAAAATGAAGATTTAAAAAAAAAAAATGTTATAGTAATAGCTATTACCAGCTATTTTGTACTTATTTTAAAACAAGGTATGTTAAATATCAGAGGGCGCACTGCCCCTCCTATTTTATTCTAGGGAAGCAAT